GACCACTCTAGTAGGTTTAGGTCACAGATAAATATGTCTGAGCTTCATTCTTGAATGTAGTTTTCTTCTTATTTGTAATTAAGTTAGTTATATATAGTTAGCAGTTTAATGGTTAGCCCTAACTGCAAGTGTTGGCCTCGACCATAGCATTTATATATAGAAATATTTCTGTACATAGTAACTCCATGAAGTTACTAACCTTAAAAACTACCAATAAAGATATGAACAAGGCCTCACCTTAATACCAAAAAAAAAAAAAAATAGGTTATCAACTCCTAAGTGATAGATTTAAAGTTCAAATCTCAATGATATCAAAAATTTGTAATTCTTTCTGTATTATGGTTAACTGTCTTCTATGATTAGTTGAAATAAGATATCTGTAACTTATATCATATCAACATGACTGGAAGGTTTAGATACTTGTATAACATTGTATAAAAGAACACAAACTGGTACTAGGTGATATGAATCAAGATAAGTTCTTAGGTTATATAAATTACAGGAATCAAGTACAAAGATAAAAACCTATTTGAAAGACCTGAATAGAAAGATAACCTAAACTTTTGACAATGCTACTATAAAGACTAAACTTATAAAATGAAACTAAAACTTGTGAAACTGAACAAATATGTCAGTTTTTGAGAAAGGATCAGATAAACTAACCAGATTGTCAGAATTTCTGGATTTCAGAAGAAAAAAATACATGTCAACAAACATATAAACCAAAGACAACCTACCTTTCTGAGCTATCTGGAATAGTAACTTGGTAAAACTTAAATTGAATATCAAAGTAATAAGGATATGTTATAAAGTCAGAAATGAACTCTACAAGAGCATAGTAGTTTAATAGTATGCCCTGATCACTAGTATTGATTTCAACCATAGTGATACTGGATCAACTGTAATAATGAGATACAGAAGATTCTGGAAGGTTTAATACAAGGTCAAAAGTTCTAAAGAACTGCTTTAAAAACTTAGTAACCATAACATATTTTCACTGACATCAGTCAAGATCATTGGTAGGCAGAAGTAGGTAAGTGAATACAGAAACTAGAATGTTTAAATAGAGAACCTACAAACAGGTTCCAGGTATGACAGTTAGTTTAAAACCTTCAGGCGGACTACTTAAATTAGACAATGATTATAGTTATACAAGTTACTAGTTGTACACTCTTTCCATGGTTGCCCCCTGTGGTTGTAATGCAACCATTGGCCAAATATACTATCAATAAAATCCTGGGTCGCAAGTACTCAACTTAATATTTAAAAAAAAAATAATAATAATAATTTACAATATAAATTATAATAGTACAGTATCAATATTTGATTGGTCGATCAATTTCGGTAATCACATAACCGGAGATATCTCCACTGGTGAGAAAAGATAAAATTATAAAAAAATTCCTGGCCAAATTCTACTATATGACCTAGCCCTAACGCTGGTCAAATATTACGTATTTTTAGCGAAATAAAAATCATTTCCTTTTTTGACTTGTGGGTATTGATTTTATTAACTCTATAATTTCAAATTCATGTAACATACCAATCAAATCAATTTTTACGAACAAAAATTAAACCAATGCTTATGGTTAGGGTTAGGGATTGCGGTGAGGTATAGTTTATACCAAAAATTTCGCAAGAAATTTTTTTGTTAGAAACAAAAAAATGGGTTCATAATCGGAATTTTGAGATATCGACTGTTTTTGAAATCGTCCAGGTACATACAACCCGTGTACAAATAGTAATTGTCTTAATAAAATTAGATATAATTTTTAAAAGAAAAAATTCTAAATTCCAAATTATAATTTAAACTAATTAGTCTAACCATTTTTATAAATTTAACTAGAATATTTACTATAATCTAAAATTTAATATAATTTCTTATATTAATTATCCAAATAGTTTGCTAAATAAATAACTTAATTTAAGATACAAACTAGTTAAGGTTTACTTACTTGGTATTTTATGTTATACGTATTTGATATCAAAATTTGGTAGTATTTTAGATGCTGTTAATTAATGTTTATTCTATTAGTTGAAGTAACATTCCAGTGAGACGGTCTCTCTTGACCAGCTAACTATTCTAGGCAAAGTTGTTGCACGCTATTATTAGTAAAATTTTGAATGATCTTGGTAGAGGCCTGCATTGGGTCCCGCAGCCCGGCCCGGCCGGGCCTAAAATTTTGCAAAAATATAAGAAATTTTGCGGGCCGGGCCAACAACCCTAAAATCACCAGTCTAAAAAATTTCGCAACCAATCAGATTTCAAGATCTTGTGTAACGCAAAGGAAGCGCAAAAGAATCAAAATAACAAAAAAACGCCTATAGCTTAAAATTTTGCTTATGAAAGTGCCTTCTGCGTATTAAGAAAAAGTTTTCCTCATGAAATTTTACTATACCCATAACCCTCTAAACCAAACGCTAACCTACTAGTAGGACCCTAACCCTAAACTAATAGCGAAAATTTTTTTTGATATGTTAATGTTAGAAAATGCTATATGATCATATGATTTGCGAAATTTTTTTGCCTGGTGATACTAGTCTTATAGGCCGGACCGGGCTGGCAAAAAAATTTTAACCCTAAATGCGGGCCGGGCCGGGCCTCAAAGATAGGCAATTTGCAGGCCCTAGATCTTGGATAAAATTTATCAATGCCGGCCCATTTTGACTCTAATTTTAGTCGATCAGCTTAATTTTGGTTGCACGAATAACCTATTCTCCAGGCCCTAATATTAGTAAACTTTGGCACTTATCTATTAATAAAAAAAAACAATTAGATTATTTTTAACTGCCATTTATAGTTAATGTGGTACATAAATTACAAAGAAAATTCGTGTAATTCACATTCTTATACATTTATTTTCGAAAATGTGAATAACCAAACCCACATGTCAGATAGGGGAAAATAGACGTTTATTTCTTCAAAGACATTTATTTAAAGTTTTTATATTCATGAATTAAAAGAGAATTTCTATTTGTACGTATGAAACACAGATATCTATATAACTTAAAATTTTACTAAAAAACATCATTTGGGACTCTAATAAAAAAAATAAACATCGTGGAATTTTAGTATAAATTTTAACCTAAGCAAATTAATTTTGGTTTTCTTTAATTTTGTGTTACACGGATTTACAAATTATACTCGATACTAGTATCGGTATGGTGATACTCTAACATTTATAGCTGTTAAACTCAATGTCCTTTATAAAGACTGTACATATATTACTTGTTTAAATCGTATATTGCTTGCTAAGTAGGGTTAGGATTTAGGTAACTATTATGTGTCATTCCATATTCAACATATTGTGGTTGAATATGATGTTGCACGTAATTAATTACGGGCACGTTACCCTCATTTCTTGGGTATTGATTATATGAAGCACCATCTGCTAACATTATATAATTATTTTGTTGCAGTTGAAATACCAGTGGTTGATAATAATGAAATGCAGTCACGGGTGTCTCTAAAAAATTTTGAGAAGGTACATTACCAAAATAATCATGGTGGTGTCCTTCAAGTTTAGGTGGACTGTCATTATCAGAATAATGCAAAACTTCCCGAGTTGTAATTAATGAAGTATGTTTAATTCTATGTTTTCGATAACACCATACTGCAGAATATCCTATAATAAATGCTAAAGCAACATCCCCAACGATTATACCAATAAGTATTGATAAGCTGAGATGAGTTTGATCATTTGCGGCATCTTTACAAAAACAATGAAAAAAAATATATAACATATGTAAGATGTAGGTTATTTTTTTTAAAAAAAATTGAAAGAATATACTTGCTTGATTGATATAAAGCGATCCAATCGTAGGAGGTTGTGTTAAGTAAATAAATCATATTATTAACGCTCGATTGTTTGGACTCGGGACCGGTAACATTACCTATATGATTAATTTAAATGTATTAAAATAATTTTTTGTAACATTTTAAGCATCTTCCACGTATAAAATAAATGTATACCAAATAACAAGATCATATAATCATCTACCATAACCGCAGTATGAGCCACAAGAGATCGTGGGGTACTGGATAATGCAGTGGTACTTGGTGTTGACCACTGAAATTGAGTCGATGAAACATTAAGAACCGCAAGATCTGGTAAAACTTTTCTATTATCTGTACCATTGGAACCGCCATAAATAATAATTTTACCATCGGATGCTTTAAAAGGAAAACCGTAATGTTAAGATACTATATTAAAAATATTGTTTTAATACAGATAATCAGATCACCTAATACAGCTGAATGGTAAACTCGAGAATCAATAGTAGTATTAATGAATTTAGCATTCTAAATAATAATGAAAGTCTAATTAAGTTTTAACAACAACAACAACAACAATAATAATAATAATAATAATAATAATAATAATAATAATAATAATAATAATAATAAAACAAAATAACTGAAAACAATTACATTTAATGACCACTCTGTTGAACTCGTATTGTATGTCCAAATCTATAGTTACAATTGATTTGTTAAGTAAGCAATAAACTTAAATTTAACAACTTAATATATATACCTGACTCATATTCGCCAATGTGGGAGTACTAGAAGCGTCATTTAGCTCCCAACCGCCGATAAATACTATTATGCCGGTTTTTAATAAAGTAGCAGTATGTCCTGATCTTTTTGAAGGAGCAGAATCAAGTGTCACATTTGACCATGAAAAATGGATAGAATCAAAAATTATCATTTCATTAAACCATTCGGATAAATTAGAAATAGATTGTCCACCAAAAATATATATCTTTCCGGAATCAGGGTCATAAGATAAGGAAGATCCTTTGCGTCTTTGATTTAAAACATCCGAAGTTGTTATATTAGACCAGTTTTCAATATTTGTGTTAAAGCTATATACCATTGTATGATTAGAAGGAACCATTATGCCACCGATAAGAAATAGGATAGAATTACTGCCACCACCAACAGTTGCAGTTGCCCATGCACTCGCTACTGGAGTAGAAGAGAGATTACTCCACCGGGGAGATGTAACATCATTGGCGTTAAAAGAAGTAGATAAATCAAGGTAAAATAGCTCTGAGGAAATAGTACCATCTTGAAATTGACCACCAATAAAATAAAGTCTATAGTCAACTAAAGCGCTAGCGGCAGCATAACGACCCTCCGGTTTGGATATCACAACAGATACAAATAAACTAACCGTAAAAATAAGAAAGAATAACATAATCGCTTACAGATCTTAATACATTCAAGAGAGAGATCTAACATATTTGTCGAAAAGAACTCCAATTTATCTATCACAATTTGAACTTAAATGAACTAAATTCAGTAAAGCCATGATGCTAACGTTTACGTACACAATATTACCTGTTACTGTTGAATGATTTACGTAAATAGAAAATTTTTTGCGCAACAAATTCACCGTACTTATATACGTACGTATAGTACTTATGTACTTACGTACACATAACTACCGATACGTACAAAAATTCGTGTGATCTCAATTGCTTGACTTTTATGTAGATTCTCTGACTTATTCGGAGTGTTAGTGTCGCGCATAAAATTGTGACTAATTCACATTAACATTAATATTTGCATTAATAAAATATCTAAATTTTTGTGTAGAAAACTTATTGACTTCCTTCTATTTGTTACCAGTTTGCATGAAAATCTTGCTAATATGTCAGTCAGTCTGTTTTTCTATTCTAAACAGTATTCTATCTTTTTTTTATTATTATTATAACCCTGATACTAAAGTCAGGGGCGCGTGTGGCGCTCATTTATTAATAATATTTATTAGTGTCTGTAATGTAAGTATTTTAGATATATTCTCTTTCTTTTTAGATGAAAACCTTTTTAAGCTAAGTTGAACTATTTTGATCTCTTTGTTTAAATAACATTTGACTATACTTAGAATACTTGTTAGGGTTTGGTAATCCTCTTCCTATTATACCCTTGTATATTGACATCAGATTTTGTATATTGTATTAATATGCAGTCATAATGCTGCCTATAAACCCTTCTTACTCTTTATGTTTGATGCATTAAAGATCTCTTCCATTGTCCTGGGAGGACATTCAGCTTGTCTAACACAGGTCAAATACATAAATAATGGTAAAATAATAGAATGTACTTATATAATCTTATTAGTTTGCTAATATGCATATCAGATAATATATCAGTAAACTAACAGTTATCTATATTATAGATAGATTAAATATAGATATCAGTTATATAATAATATACCTTTAGTTTCTTATTATTCTTTTGATGTATATAAAGAGATAAGATAAAAAGAATAATAATAGTAAACTAATAGGTATCAGCATTAAAGCAAGATATAAATATATAAAAGATATAAGAAATATATACTTTTTTTTTATTATTCTGATATTTATCTTATATATTAGTAGTATTACAGTAAGATGTAGATATGTATAAAGGTATACACATATTGATATATATTTTACTGATATTTATCTAATAACTTCATAATATAAAGTAAAATAAAAATATATAAAGATCTATATTAATATATTTTTCTTCTTTTATTATCTGAATATTTGTTTAAAGTTATTAAAATATATATAAAAACATATAGTAATATATATTTTCTTCTTTTATTATCTTTATATTCATTTTACAAGTTCTTTAATATAATAGCAAAACAAAAGCATATAAAGGCATATATTGATATATATATATTATTATTCTTTTATTATCTTAATATATATACAAAAATTATTATCTTAATTTTTTTTCTAATACAAAACCTGAAAATTGAGTTATGTAAATTTTTAAATTATATAAAATATAAGAATTGTTTTGGACTTTAATTTTTTTTTTTTTTGAATTTTCTACTACATGATCACTAGTAAGTTGCAGCTGACAGCTGTTTTATTAGTTCATATTTCAAATTTACAAGACCTTCTATCAGGACCCCATCTACATTTTACATTATTTGTATACATTTACAATACTATCTATATACTAATTTTTGTGTTTCTATTACCCTAAAATTTTACTGGAATTATTTCTAATTGGAGATTCCTTTATTCTATTATTAACTTTAGCTCTCTAATTATCATAACCTTCTTATATCAGGTCTGTCACCATTTAAGGATCTGGATACTAAAGATCTTCATATTTTTGTAATATGCCATCTGATGTGATTAATCCGTAATTGTAGTTCTAACACAGTTTACATTCCTATTGAACTTGAACCAGCAACCTTATGATTAGTAACCTGAGAGCATAACTACTTCGCTATTAATCCACAGATCAAACTTTAATTTTTTATACTTATTTGATTATTTTTTATTTTCATGTCTGACTTGAAATAAAAAAATCTTTCACTAACTAACAATGAAAAAAGAATGATTATTAGTGCTCATTAATATTTTTTAAATACTTGATAACATCAAAATCAATTTCAAAAGATGAAATTATACAAGCAGATTGCTATAGTTTTGGGTATTAGCAAAGTTACAATTATATAAATAATTAAAAAATAGAATAAAAATGATAATAAAGGTTTTATAGACTATAAAAAAATTGGCTGATCAAAAAAAAAATTTAACATCAATATTGCAGAAGTTATATACAGTTTAGTTGTCTTTACAAATATTTTCAGTTCTCTATTTTTAATAATAATATTATATCAAAAACTCAAAAAACAAAACTATGTTTTTTTAAAATAGCAATTACTTTATATATTACATCAGTTGGGTTATTATTTTGGTTATGTTGAATATTGAAATATCTTACATAAATCATTTACAAATGTAGCTTTTCAAAGTTGCTATTTAAGAAAACAGGTTGATAATTTGTAAGATAATAATGATGTTTCAACTAGATTAGAGGTTTTTTTAAATAAATCTTATTGTTACCTTCATTATACTTCAAATTATACATGGGTACCAAATTATAGAGTTATTTGTTTGTCAGGACATAGTTTTTTAATTGTTATATTTAATGCTATCATTATAATGCAAAATTGTAACACAAATAAAATTGATAGTAAAATTGTATCTAATTCTATTTTACTATAAGACTTATCACTTAAACTATCATTTTTTTTTAAAAAAAATAAGAAAACACAAATAAATAAGATGAAATTTCTGATATTATTTATAATGCTAATATTGTGACTGATAATGCTGATTATTATAATAATTTTAACACTGATATTTTTAAAAATCTTTTTAACAAACTTTATATAAATATTTACAATCAATACAGATCTGTAGATATTCACATAAATGAAGTTTAATATTATAAATGTCTAGTCAAATATATGTTATTATCAAATTTAAAAAAAAAAATAATTTAATTACATGGCTAATATTAAAGAATGTTGATATTCCAAAACATTCTAGTAAAGCAAAACTGTATGAATTAGTAAAACAAAATAAGACCAAAGTATCTTATGCATGTAATCAAATAGCTGTTAAGTATAGTTATAACTTATATTACACTTCTTTATATCACTGTGAGCTTCAATCTATTAAAGGAATCTAAGCAGTTGTAAAAGGAAAAATTACTAGAACTAGTCTATATTCTAATCTTCTTACTATTAGAAACAAATTGTTGTATGCATTTAAACAAAAGATTAATTCTAAAACTATTGTTAAATTTTGAAGAAAATTACTTAGAAAAACAAAAGAATATAGAGATTTGGATGACAATACAATTTTGTATGATAGCAACTCTAAAATAGAAGAAATTAAAGAAATTAATGATTAATAAAATTTTTGTAAAAATGTAGAATCTTAATAAAAATTATAATAAAATAAATTTTATGACCTAAGTAATAAAATAAAAAATTTAAATAGTTATATTAATTTTTAAAAAAAATTTTTTTATTATAAACATATCAGTGTATTTACCTTTTTGCACTAGGCAATATTTATCTTATAAGTTTTTAATAATATTTTTTTTTTTGAGAAAAAATTAAAATTTTTTAAAATTTGGCATTTTATAATTATTTTTATTTTAAATATTTATATGTAATTATTTTTATTTTTTAGTCATTATATATAGTACCGAACAGTAAAAGACATCCAATATTTATTAATAAAAACTTTGAAGTGTTATAACATTTTTAAAACAGGTTAAATCAAAAAAACCTTTGACAAATTGATAGATTTTTGGATAAACTACATTTCTGTCAGAGGATTATTTTTTATTCTTTGTATTAAAAAAGTTATAAAAGATTAAAGTTTATATGAGTTTAAAAAATTGGTGTTTAATATAAAAAAAAAAGAAAACATATATATATTTTTAACCAATCAAAATCAATTATACAAAAATTAGCCAATCAAAATTGATTATATAAGAACCAAAAATTGGTGCCTATATGTATTGATTAGATGTCTTTTACTGTCTCATATTATATAATATCATAGGTAAAATCAACACCTTATGGAACTTGCGAAATGAACATTATTGTAGCATACTTACCTAATTAGAGTTGCCTATAATGATCTATCTGAAACATGTGCATCTGGCCCCAAAAGATGCCATATGAAAGTACACAAGCCTCCATGCAGGACCCAACCACCCTTCTAATTAAAGTAAGATCAATCTGAACCAACCTGTTGCACTGAGAATGGGCATTGACTTCATCTGCCTTACCTGGGTTAGATGTGAGGTGATGTCAAGAGGGGTGTGATTAAAGACAATATGACAGGTTCTGGCCCCAGGATTATATAACTGAAACATTTCTCATCGAAGCTATGAGAAATGTTAAAGTAATGAAAAGCTGTATAGAAGGAGTTAAAGGTTATAACAAATAAGGTTAGAAAGTGTTAATAATAATGAGAAAAGTCATGGGCTTGTGCAGGCTCTTCTCTCATTCAATTCATTATAAAAAGAGTGAAATTTCTCTCTCTTAAAAGGACAGTTCAGAGTAGTTCAGAATTCGAGTCTATAATAACACAATTGTACTGCCTCTACAAAACATTAATAAAAATTAATAAAAACTCTTTGACCTATAAAATATAATAATGTTTTTTTAAAATCTGAAATACTTATCTTATAATACTCCTTTTCGATCACTTTGACCTTGTGCCAAATCATAAAACTGCTTCTGTTATCTTTGAGGAATGTTACACAACATAAATGTTTTTCTAGCAACAATTCATCACATTTGCCCAATATCTGAACTTATCTATTAAACCTGTAACAATAAATAGCATTTATTAGCAATAGAGTAGTCTTTAT